TGATTGCATGCCGCTGGTGATCGGGATGCCATACAGATTCATGTCAAAAATACCGAACTATCCCTTTAATTTCTACCTACATTTATTTGTTTATTGTATTTAGTTTTAAATATGGTAGAGCTGGTCCTCCATATTCTTCTACCTTCAGTAACTAGTTAATTGGGAACTATTAACTTGGTTGTCAGTAAATAAATTTCTAATTGACCCACTGACATCAGGTTCACTTTGCTTTTCAGGAAGACCTGAATAAACCCACAGAAATGAGTCCAAATTATGGTGCAGTAATAGTATACAGGTTAATCATCTCTTTATCTCAAGAAAACAATTAATTGTTTACCCGCGATAACGAGATAGTTATGTCATTATCTTGAGAAAACGAAGAAAAAAAAGAGGACAAGTACGACCGCTCTCGGCTTACGTAAATTTCTGTAATTTCTGTGTTTTTTTTTCCCTAAAAGCTTAATTTTCCTTCTCTGAGTATCCAGCTGAGTATCCAGGGCCGTGTTCTTAGACCATTGTCAGTCAATTTCATTTTTCCCTCATGGATGATATTCCTAAAACTTCTCTTTCCTCCTTCAGGTCCCGTTCACACTGGAAAAAATCTAAATCTAGATGAGTCATTTTTTCTTAAAATAAGTGCATTTGTTCTTGAATTGAGGAGGCAAAAGCGACATTTTGCTAATGGAACAGGAACATTTACATTTTAAAATAAGAACAATTGCATTGTCTTATTTCAAGTGTATGTTATCTAATTATCTTATTTTAAGAGTAAAACTACTCATTCCATTGGCAAACTATCTCATTTACCTGCTCAAATTAAGGGTAAATACATTCAATTTAAAGAATTTTTACTTATTTCTAGATCGTTTTTTCCAAAGCATAAATGCGCTCTGTGGAACATTTATTGGTTTAGGTGCTGTTAGCCACCTGGACGGGCTTCTTGTGTGACTTTTGGTGATGAGGCGGCTCTTTAAAAGCTACTGGTTTAGATTAAAGAACTTGATATCCATTTGCACTGAAAAGGGACTGGACTGTTTACTGAATACTGATGAATTTCATCTGGTTTCCACCTTTCTTAGAGCTTCATGTTTTTGTTTTGAAAACTACAGCTTTATTCATCTGTTCAAGATTTCATGTTCAGTTTCCCTCCAAACTCAGATTTACTGAACAAAACATAAAACTCTTAAATGTTGGGGTCGGAAATGTTTGATTTCTCTCGTCTCATATATTTAGTTATGCGATTTATCCAATGAAAAATGTTTTTCCTCAGTTTGTTTTACCTGCAAGGATGAGAAAATGTCTGAGTGAGGGGTGGTTTCAGATAAAACAGACTTATTCCCACGACAAGCTAAATTGTTTCTCAAGGTTTGGTAAAGTTTCTGTAACTTGTTTTGAGTTTGACACAACCTTCACAGCTTTGTCCTCAAGTAAGGGAGACAAGCTCTGTCAAGTCAGAACAGGGCTGATTACAGAGCAGTAACGGCCGTATGATGAACTGTTCTCTCTTTGTAAAGATAAAATAAAGTTTTGAGTGAAATCCATCGATCTCCGTTTATTTAACTAGGCTAAATAGTTTAATACTTTTTTCCCCACTACACTGTTCATTATTTGCAAAGACATAATGAATCTCTGCTGTCACTCCAAAGATATTTGCTTTTTCTGAGTTTTTCTGAGTAGACATGGAGCTTTAATTGTTTCTCCTAAAGAACTCCACAGGGGGGCTGTTGACTGATTTTATACTGCAGTGCTCTTTGGATTTTAACCAGACGCGATCTCTCCTTCCTTCTACTCAGATGGCGAACTTTATGCCGGCACTTCCGTCGACTTTATGGGAGCCAACGCAGCGATTTTCCGCACATCCGTTCAGGGCAGCAGTCAGCATTACCTCCGCACTGAGGCCTACGAACAGAACTGGCTCAACGGTGAGCAGCTGGACGTTCTCTACATGTCACCTCTCCTAGTCACCTGATCCATTCAGGATTAAAAGCTAAACTGGAATCCATTTTCATTGCACCTCAGCATGAATGATTGTCGGTGATTCCTGCATTGGCTTTGATCTCAAAAACAGGCTTTCTTTGTCCTCCCCAGAACCGGACTTTGTGGGCTCCTTCTCCATCCCCGATACTCACAGTCCGGATGATGATAAGGTTTACTTCTTCTTCAAGGAGAAGGCAGTGGAGGCCGGCCAGTGGGACAGGAGGGTCTACAGCCGAGTGGCCCGAGTCTGCAAGGTAAGATAAGATAAGATAGACTTTACCCATAGTTTATCCCTTTTTACTATTTATCAATAGTCTAAGGAAGGCACCAAAAGGAGGAAAAGGTGCATATGGTATATACAAACTACAAAAAATTAAAATCTAAAAAAGTAATTTTTTTCTTAAAATAAGTGCATTTTTTTATTGAGGAGGAAAATGAGACACCTTGCCAATGGAACAAGATGATTTACATTTAATAACAGAAAAAAACAATTGCTTTGTCTTATTTCAAGTGCATAATATCTAATAATCTTATTTTAAGGGTAAAAATACTCATTCTTTTCGTGTACTATCTCATTTACCAACTCAGATTAAGGGTAAATACACTTAATTTGAGAATTTTCACTCATTTCTAGATCGTTTTTCCAGTCCAGTTTGTCCACATATATACAGTTGATCGATGAAGGTGACTTTAAGGTTACTCATACACATATGGATTTGGCGTTTTACAATAAAGTGGAACTAGGTAAAGAATACGATTGAGGTAGTTAGATAACTACAACAGCTGAAGTCTAAACAACCTTTATTCACCAATCGGCAGGATTAGAAACTCTGAGCATGTCTTGATGCTGCGTATCTGAAACTGATCATATTAGATTGATACAAATTTGATTAATATGCATGAATATTTTTGAGCTTGAAATTCCTGATGCAGCTTTATTTTCTTATTCTCCTTTTTTATGTGAATGTGGATCAATGGTTCCTTGGAGTTTGGCTGCTCTTTCATTTGTTGTCAGTCCAGTTCCTGAAGACATCAGAGGAGGGATCCACTTAGTTTGACCAAGCCGGACCCATTTACCTCCTTCCAGACATGCCGATGTCCAGCATGCTGTGATGGACGGCTTCTTAGACTTGAACAACTTTTTAAAAATGTCATTTTGCATACACAGAGTGTAAACAAATCAAAATTTCCTTTAGTACAGCTTTACAGACAGTAAATAAAGATTTCCATAAGGTTCAGCAAGGATCAAATGTAAACAGTGTGGGAGAAAAAACATGGTGCAAAAAAAACATTGATAAGGAAGTGCGTACTGGACTGAAGCTGAATGAAAAGGCCTCCAGATCAGTTTAATAAAAAAAAAAACTTATGTTGCATATCTGTCTCTGTCCTGTTTCTCTGCTCCCTGACTTCCTAAAGAACGACGTTGGCGGGAAGAGGAGTCTGATCAACCGCTGGACCACCTTCCTCAAAGCCAGATTGGTCTGTTCTGTTCCCGGCCCGTCTGGAGTCGATACGCACTTTGATGAACTGGGTAACACTGACCCTTTCCCTCCTCTTCCTCTTCCTTCCTCTAAAACCTCTTATTTTCTTACCCAATTATTTTGGCATACGTCCAGAATCTCTTTAATCTGACTTTTACTGTTTACGGATAAAAAGGAAAAAAAGTCCAGATCTTGATTTTTGTTTTGTTCTCAGAGGACGTCTTTGTTCTGGAAACCAAGGATCCTCAGAACCCGACCATCTATGGCGTCTTCAAGACCTCCAGGTGAGAAGCTGGTTATTCATTTCACAGGTTTTTAAAAACATTTTCTTGAATATGCAGCAGGTTGATCAAGCTGAAACAGAACAGTGAAGTAAACATCTAAACACAAAGCAGGAGTGGAGAAAACTCCAGCAGACAAAGTCCTCAGTTTCCAAAAATGATAAGCATGTTTAGACTAAATGAGGTCAGGCTCAAGTTTAGTTGCAGGGCCAAGTACTCAGAGAGAGCCAAAGTATAAAGGAGGAGAACTAAAAAAAACTCCATTCAGGAAAACAAAACCACTCAGAGAGGGATTTGAACCCAGGACCTGCTTGCTGCAAGACATCAGGTTAAAGTCGTAAGGAAGTCAATTTTAAATGTCAAATCATTCTGGCTTACACATGTATATAAATGTACTCTTTATCAGATGATATTGTCCCAAAATTTAGAACATTTCAATAAAAATGAAATCCTGTCTTAAAATCTGTGGGGTTTTTCTGTTATCTTCTGCAGGCCAGTTAGTTCTACGTCAGCCTGAACACCTAAATTCGGCCAATCATATATCAACGGTCATCTGTCAATCACACTTTTTCGGTCATAGCATCTTGATTCATATGTCGCAGCTAATATACGCAACGGTTGAAATCAGAAATCAGAATCCTTTCCTTT